TCCATTAAAAGCCCCCAGCATTTGGGCCGCAGGGCGTTTCGCTGCCTATCACACAGATCTGATTGAAGCACTGCTGCCTCTTCCCACGGCCTCCAGTTGTGTGTGAGCACTGCTGTGCCAGCTTCACATCCAGCTCCGAGTGCCACCGCGATGATGGTGACAGTGCTATGGGCACAGACCCCACGGATACGTCCTCACCCACTGCAATGGGTGCGGGGTGGCCCAGCTGGGACCGGCCCTGCTGCGCGTCGCATCGGCTTTCCCAACGCAGTGACTCAGGTGCAATCCCGGGCAAGGCGATCCGGCAGTGAAAACAGTAATTAGGCATTACAGCCCGGGCCCCAATTAAGACTGGTATCTAAAGCAGCACAAGGCATGGCGACACGCAGGCTGGCCCTGTGCCTGTTAGGCAGGCTGCAAGGCACAACCAAAGCCAACTGCGGCACAAGGCTGCGCTGGGAGGTCAGGCTGAGCATCCTAAGAGCAGCGTGGTGGGGAGTCACCGTGCCCAGAGGTGTCCCAGCACGTGGGGACGTGGCGCTTGGGCACAGTGGGACGGACCAGGGTTGGCCGGGGGGTCTGAGGGGTTTTTTCTGACCTTAATGACTCTGTGATTCTCCCCCCTCTCTTGCCCAACGATCCCAGCTGGGAACAAACAGCCCGCACTTGCGACACAGGCAGCTCCTGCAGGTGACACGGCGAGGTCGAGCAGCGCTCATTTAATCCACACGGCTCGTAAAGCTCTCCCTAATTACGGCAGGGCACAAAGCACCGGGAGGCCGAAACCCGCCCCAACCCCACTGAACAAAAGGATGCAAATGAAAAGCAGCCCAGGTTGGTTTCCCTGCTGATAAAGAGAAGGCAGCTCGTTTCTCAACGCGCTGCTCCCCAAACATCACCAGCCCCATAGCGCAGAGGGAAGCACCGAGCAGCTGAGCTGCACCCGACCCTCCTGCAGCCCCCAGACCCCCCCAGCCCTCCCCGGGTGTTTGCAGCTCAGCTGCCCAACTAGTGCCACAACGTAACACAAGTTATGTTCAACCGCTCCTCATCTCCACTGTTCAACCACCGCTCTGCAGATGGATCTGCAGGAACTCTGCTTACTTCTCTGCTGCCTTCAGGAGTGGGGGCACGAGGCAACACCAAACACAATGGGGACAGCAAACAGGAGAGCAGGGAAACGCTCAGCTTCCACACCTCCACCCCAACGTTGGGCACCGACCGCCCTCCCCACCGCCCCCTCCCTGCTGTAGGAAAGCTGCTCTGACCCCCGAGCCCCACACTGCCTTCACTCAGCAGGGCTTTCTCTTCTCTTCTGCCACATATCAGACACGATGGGTTCTGATCCATTCCCTCCCTCCCAGCAAGCAGAGGCTGCGCGATGCCCAGTTACAAACCCTGCTCCTGCTGCGCCCCTCTGCTCACACAGCCCCAGCGCTGCCACAAAGCCCAGCCTGGAGCACAGCAAACAAAGAGCCCCAAAACGGAAACACGGGAAGCACGTGGAGATGGGAGCCCTGCACTCCAGAACGGGATTAGGAAAACTGACATCACCCTGAATGCAGACAGGACTCATTACCAAGAGGCAATTCGGTTCTGGAGCATTTTGAGCTTCCCATCCTGCTCACAGCTTACCTCGTCCCACGGCAGCCCTGAAGTCAATCGAGCCCCAGGAGCTGCGCCAGCCCGGTCAGAGTCCTCCCAAAGTCAGCATCCTGAATCCCAGCTGAGGATGCATCTGTCCCAAGGATGGAATCTGCACGGCTCTCACTCCCTCCCACAGCTTTTCTTTTTTCCACGGCACAAACTGCCCCATAAATGCTCCGCAGCCCAATTCGGCTGCAGTTAATTGGAGGTTTCGAAGGCTCCCGCAGGAAGCCAGGACGGCTGCTGCTGGGTTTTTTTTTGTGTGCGTGTGTTTTGTTTTGCTTTTGTTTGAGGATGTAGTGGAGACTTACACGTATTGCTCACAGCCTGGAAATAAAACAGCTGTAATTACTCCGGGTTGACGACGTGGCTCAGCGCATCGCAGGGCAGCGCTGCTCACACTGCCAGCCCCGGGCCTGGTACCCAGCACTGCTCCTGGGTCTGGGCCATGACAGCAGTGGGAAACAGCTGCTCTGCTCTGAAAACAGCACTGGGGGGGGGCTGAGCACTGGAGGGGAGGGGAAGGTCTGAGTGCCTGAGTTCTGTGCATCCCAGGCAGGTGTGTGCGGTCAGAACAGGTGCAAGAAGCGATGGGGCTGGAGCAGCTCAAAGCAGCTCCCCTTCTGTCCTCTCCCCTCTCATCTGTTGTGCTTTGGGAAGCACAGAAAACCCCACGTGAAATCCAGATCACGATCTGCTCCAGATTAAACCAATGCCACTGAAAATTAGGAGTCAACCTGGGCGAAGCTCGCCTTTTTGTTTGCTTTGTTGGATTATTTTCTCTTTGTTGTCCACGGGTTCAGGACAGGCTGTGCTGGGCACTTCACAGCTCCTGCTCTCCTTTAATACCACCCCCCCACTCGAGTTGGGCACACAGAATCCACGCACACCTCGCAGCAAAAGGCGCTCAGCCCATCGCCCACCACCCCCTCTGTGACTCCAATAAGAACCGATTAGGGCCCCCCCCCCCCCCAGCAGCGCCTCGCTCAGCAGATTTCTGCTCCATTGTCCCTCACTGTCCCCACATCACATGAAACAGCGGCTCTTTGTCAACAAACAGAGCTCTGGAAGCAGCACGGCGTTGTTGTCTGGAAGGTGCCACCAACTCCAGCTGTGCACCCTTCTGACCAAAGGGGGGAACGTTTCAGCCCTTCGGCCCCAAACATCCGCAGCACAAAGGATTCGTTTAAAGGTGAGGAGCTCTCAGCTCTCCCCAGGGCAGATTTGGACACGTGGGGGTTGGGGGGGGGGGGGTCAGGGCTGTCAGTGCACACAAACCTCACTGCTCTCAACACAGCTGAGATGGGCAAGGCCCGCGGGCAGCTTTTGGGTGACGGCTGTCAGCACAGCCCCTCCCCAACCCCCCCATCACCATCCGAGCATCTCGCTTAGCGAGCCGTGCGGGAGGGGCGCTGGGTAAACAACGCCTCTTATTTTATGAGCGTTTGTGACCAAAGGAAGGGGACAACGCAGCTCCGGCCCACAGCCACCCCCAACCAAAATTAAAACCAGAATAACAACAGAAATCAAATAAACCCACAGCGCTCCCACCGCAGCGGACGGGATCCGTCCCCGCAGCGCAGCCCCGCACCGCCCCCCCCGCAGCCGTCACACCGCACCACGGAAGGCCGCACCGGGCTGCAGCCCGCCGGGTCCCTTCGGGGCTGCGGGGGAGGGAACGGAACCCCCTGCCCCCCCTCACCACCGGACCCCTCCCCCCTCCCCAGGCAGCTCCGCTCCCCCCGGCCCGCGCCGTCTCCCGCCCCCCCCCCCCGGGCCCCGCAGCCCCCCGGGCCGAGGCCGCGGCCTCACCTCGAAGCGGCTCTTGGTGACGCCGTTCATCTCCCTACGCATGGCGAGGGGTGTGCGGGGGAAGGGAGGGGGCTGGAGAGGGGGCCCGGCCGGGGCCCGGTGTGAGCCGAGCTCCTACGGCCTCAACTTCAACCCCAAACAAAAACACGGGGCACCTGCCAACAACGCGCGCGCTCATTGGTCGGCGCCGGGGCACGGCTGGTGCTGCGGCGCGGGGGGGGGGAGGGGGGTGCGAACGGAGGAGAGTGCGCGGTTCTCATCGCCCCCCCCCCCCCCCCACAACCCCCCGCCTCACCCGGTGCCCACCTACCCCGCAGAGCGCCGCCGCGCCCATCGCGCCCAGGTGCCGCAGGGGGGCTTTGGGGGGTCCCCACCCCTTCCCGGTACCGGGGTCCGCGGGGTGCCCCCCCCCCCCACACAGACAGACAGACACCCCCGGGGGAGCGCTGCACCGCCGCACCGGGGGGCTGCGATGAGGGGGGGGCGGTGGGGGGGGTTCCCGGGGGTTGAGCCCCCCGCCCCGCGGTTCCCTTCCGGGAGGAGCAGACGGGGCGCGGGAAACGACCAATGGCGCGCCGAGTTGGCGCGACGTCACGGTGACGTCATTCGCGCGGGAAAATCGAGCATGGCGGAAAGCGCCCCCTGCCGGCAGCGCCGCCGCCCGGGGACGCGTGCGAACCGCGAGCGCGATTCCACCCCCAGGCGCGGATTTACGGAACGAACACGTAGAAAAGAACCGTTTTTCTTTTAATCTCAGCCTACGCTCCTCCCCTCGAGGTTAAAAGGTTTGGCTTTTATTCTGTGTACACGCTGATCTTTCCAATACTGAAAGACGGATCATCGAGAATAAGCAAAAATAGTTAAAAAATAAAGCATTTGTAAGAGAGCAAGCGTTCGCACAGCGCCCTGCTGGCTGCGGAGCAGCCACGGCGCCCTCGCCTCTCCCCGGCTCCCCTCCCCCGGCACTGCGCACGGCGCCGCGGGTCCCGCCGCTCCCCCCCTCCCTCGCCCACAGCCGGGGGTCACTGAGTGCAGCAGGGCCGAGGGCAGAGCTTTGCCCCCCGCGTCTGTGCGGGTGTCGCAGCGCCCACCTGACGCAGGAGATGAATTCTGAACGTTGAACTTTGGTCTTGGGCAAACGGAGAAGGAAAGGCGTTCAGCTCGTTGTTTTCACACGCATTGCTGCAGGGATGATGCAGCTGAAGGCTGTTTGCTTTCAACTTTTTCGGGGTGGTAAACGATGACTCCAAACAAGTCCAGCAAACCGTCCTGTGGAACCCCCAGCCCTGATTGGACTTTTCAGAGCGTTTCTTGTACCTCCACGCAGCCCAGGAGGGACCAAAGGGCTTTAAAAACAGAACGATTTAAAGATGGAGGGGCAGAACTCAAGGCATCGCTTCCAGAGGCGGCGGCTGCAGCAGGGGCTCCAGAGAGTCACCTGGTGCTGCATTCCTTACATCCTCTTCAGGGCAGCCCTCAGTCACACCAATCTGACGCTGTGTAAGACAACGTCATTGGCTCCACGTTTAATTACTGCTTTCTTTTTATCTCAGCACAGGAAGGTGGGAGGGGGGAGCTGTGGTTGGAAAATACCAGGGACAGCTCTCCAGTTTGGGAGCGGAGAAATTCTTGGTTCCTGCATCCTACAGGAGCCTGGGAATGAAGCTGAAGGCAGAAGGAACAGGTGGGAAACCCCTACAATCAACTGAGCAATTGCCACCCTACTGAAAGGCATCTGCCTCGCTATGGCTTTGGATGAGCCAGAAAAAGAAACTGCTTGCCTGGAACATCGCTGGGGTCAGGGTGCCAGCAGAGCTGCAAAGCTCCGTGGTTTGTGAGAAATGCAGATCCTTGACATGCCATCCCCAAAGGTGAAGCGTGATCTCATTCCCACGGGTGGAATCCTGGCCTCCAGGAATCACAGGCAAAATGCAATGGGAGCACGATTCTGTCCAGCACAGAATTCAAAAGATGCGTTCACGTAACACTTGGTTTCTTCTTCAGCATATTCGATTTCACTGCTTTTAAAAATAAAACCCTCTCCTGTGTCTCTTTTCCTTTAGGGACCAGAAGAGAAGACCACAGAGGATGCCTGAGTCACGCTCTTAATTCCAGCCAAAAGGGGAAAATCCATCATTTAGGGAACCCGCTGCTCCTGCTGCAGTCATCACCCAGATGAAGCAGCTAGGGTCTGTTCTTCCAGCAATGTAAATGCAACCACGAGGCGTGAGTGACTCACAGCGCTGGGCGAACGCCTCCCAGAGAGAGGAGGGAGCGCATGTGTGCACTGCCAGAGAACCTTGAGCGCTTCAGCATCCGAGGTTGAGACCCCCTGTTAGCCATGAACACACAGCCGCCGTTCCACCAACATGAAGGGAAGCACTGGGTGCAGATAAAGCACAGCTCGGAAGCGGCTGCAGGGCTGAGATGCGCGTGGCTCCCAGCCTCCCTCGTTACCAACACGGCTCAGTGGGTTCTGGGGAAATTCTGTTTGCTTGGTTTACGAGGAGACAAAACTGCAATTAAGACAGCGGAGCTCCTCATAAACTCAGATTTGTTCCAACGCACGCCAGAATTTCACCATCACCAAAGCTGCACTGTGCAGAGCTTTCCAAATCCATGGGCTCTACCCAAATCCAAGCTACTCTGGATTCTGTGTCATGCCATTAAAACAAAGATCGCATGAAGACGAGCAGCACAGTGCGTTCAGCTACGGACATAAACAGCTAAAATTGAAAGGGAGGTGACAAATCATACAGCAACCTTTCATCGCTTTGACCTGGAATAAAAACGCTGATGTCCATCTGAACACAGCCTGATCCTGCGGCGCACACCAGAGGAAGATGAAGTTCAGGCACTGCGTGAAGAAATGCCAGAGAAATAATTAAAAAGCACTTCTTCTTTTCCTGCCAACCACCCTTTTAAAAGGAATAAAACCCAGCCCGAAAACGTACCCTAAAATAATTTGCTTAAAACTTCCTAAAAGCAAAAGCAACTTTGAGTGGGAAGAGGGGCAGAGGAACTCAGATCCCCCCAGAACAGCCTGCCTCTGCTGCACCACTTTGAGGTCTGCTCCCGCACTTACACACACACTTAGCTTCACGCCCATTAAGTCTGATGGGCCTATTAATACTTATAAATTAAGGATGAGTGTAAGTGTCCATAGGATGAAGGCCACAGCCAGGAACCTGGCTCGCAGGACGAGCTGCTGGCACTCACACATTTTCTGTGTAGTCTTTGGAGATCCTCGCAAACACCTTTTCTCCTCTTAGCACACCTCATAAAGGTCAGCGTGCCAGGTTTGCAGCCAGCAGTTCCTTCCCTTCCATCCCTAGAACCTGCAGGTCCCGCGTGCAGCTCATCTTCCAAAGATACTGAGAAGATTAATTGCCAATTAGAGCCACATCCATCAGATCGTCATCTTCTTCCCCAATCAGAAACTCAGGGCTGGGCCGGGACGGCCGCTCTGCCGACAGGATGGCGCTGCTGGCCATGGAGAGGGGCTGGTCGGCTGAGATGGGGGACTTCGACCAGCTCTCCGGCTTCATGCCGTGAGATTTCTTCTTGTCTCTGTCTTTATCCCGATCCCGATCTCTGTCCCGGTCCTTGTCTTTCACTTTTTTCTTCTCTTTTTTGTGCTTCTTATGCTTTTCTGAGCTGTATTCAGGCAACGGCCTGATGCCATCGTCAGAGCTGGGGCTGTTCTGATAGGACTTCTCTGCTATGGAAGAGCCCGACTCGCTCTCGCTGTCTATGTTTTGGGGAGTGTATGCTGGTGACTTACTGTGGCTGGGAGAGCAGCGTTCGTGTTTTGGAGTGGATCCACTGATTAAAGGGGATCCGTAGCTTTTGGAAGAAGCCATCTGAGGCCGCAAGCCATCCCCGCCTCCTTCCCCAGGTTTCTGCAAAGTTACTTTGGCTTTAATACTAGGAGAACCACCATCGTGCTTGCTGATGATGATTTTGGCCACTCCAGTGCTTCCAACATTTTTGGAATCTGAAGCCTTCTTGGAAGAGTCAACGGATCCTCCAGAAACAGAGACTTTAGATTTTTCTTTGTCGCTCTTCTCTCGCTTGCCCTGGAACTCGCCCCCAGACATGTTGTGTTTGGAGGACATAGCATGGCTCGAGGGATTGGAACTCGGCCCCATTTGTCCATCCATTGGGTCATCCCCACCAGGCCCGCTAGTGACGACCCCATGTTTCAGTTTGTCTATGACTGCAGTCAGAGATGGCTTCTTATTTCTGCTAGGAGACTTGCCTTTGGAACTTCCATGCTGGTTTTGAGATGAAGACATAGAAGACCCACTGGATGAAAAGGAAGATGAAGATGCCGTGGAAGAATTTGATGACGGAGGCGGCTTCTGTGACATAGACCCAGAGGATCCCATTCCTGAAGACGATTTCATACTCGAGCTCGACCCGGTCCCAGACATATGAGAGCCTCCAGAACCTGAACTGATAGGTGACTTTGCTTTCGATGACGGGGGAGTGCCTGGAACAGGCTTCATGGGAGAAGCGAGCTTGTCAGAACCTCCTGAGGGTCTAGAATGAGATGGAGAGATGTTTGGTTTACTCATGGAAGGGTTCATAAGTGATGATGGCTTTCCTTGAGGCTTCATCTTGGTACTTCCAGAGCCGCTGCTGAGGCCGTGTTTGGTGATGGGGGAGGATCCGGGTTTTCCCACGGACTGAACTGAGCTCTTGGACGGACCTGAACTGGAGCCACCCTGGCTTGAGTAGAGGCTGCTGCTCATCTTTGAGCCAGAAGACCCTTCTGATTTACTGCTTTTAATTTTGCCTGAGGTTGAAGAAGAGGAAGAAGAGGAAGAGGAGGAGGAATGGCTATGATGGCTTTTGCTGCTGGAGGAGGTGACAGAGCCGCTACTCGTATACTGGCCATGAGAAGACGGTTTGCCAACAGTCACGGTTCCTTTTGGGATCTGGATTGTGATTTTTGGAATAGGAGGAGTAGCAACACCGGGAGGAGTCTGAGATCTGCCTGAACTCCCAGGAGATTTGGACCCACCAGTGCTTGCTGGCGGTGTGAAAGGCCTGTTGGACGAACTGTGGGACGGAGACTTCCCATCCGTCTCCTGCTTCTTCCGCTTTGGAAGTTTCTCTTTACTTTTGCCGTCACTGGAGGGCGTCCGGCTGCGCTTCCCCGGCTTCCCATCTATTCCAGAACCTGCCATGTTACCTCCTGCACCATTGCCTTCTTTTACCCGTTTCTGAGACTTTTCTTTCCCTAAATCCCCTGTGTTCAGTAAGGGGCTCTGACCTCCGCTGTGATGCTCCATGATGTCAGAGGACCCCAGCGCTTTGCTTGCAGCTGCTATGATGCTAAAATCTACTGTATCAGATGGGTTGCTCCCCTTAAATTTATTATCCCCCCCGTCGCCCCCCAACACTTGTACTCCCAAAGTACTCAGAGCCTGAGACGCATAGCCCTTGAAATCATCCGTGTCCCCACTCTGACTGCTCTCGTCAAAGTACTCCTCCGCAAAGCCACTCTGGCTCTGACTGTTTAGCAAGTCAGGATTGAAATCTACCCCATCTGGAAAAAAATGGTTTGAAGAATCACTGTTGGGGCTCACAGCAGCATCTGCTATCAGGTCTGCTGGATCCGTGTAGGGGTTCTCGCTATTATTTGTCTGAAAAACATCTGGGTCAAAGAGGGCACTTTGTGAATGCCCCGAACTGGAGGAGTCTCTCACGGGAGTACCGATGGCTGGACAGTCCTCGTTAGTGGCGGGCAGCTTGGAAGCCTCCTCTGCTATGTCCGAAAGGATATCAGTAACGTCAGCTCCAATGCTGTCTGAACTAGAAAGTCGAACCATTCTCTGAATACTGGGCTGCGAGTGAGGTATGGGCTGGGAGTATGTAGTAGGAGGAGTGCTGCACTGACTGGGTGCTGGAGTAATATGAGGGGTGTCCAGGGTGTCTGCAGTCATGTTGACATCAAAAATGGGATTCTGGGAGTCAACGTCCATTGAAAAAAGCTCCCTCTGGAAATCATCCTCAGTCTGATGCTTGGGCTTGTCGGCAGGCATGCGGGATTTTTTTTTCTTTTGCTTACTCCCCCCAGGGCCCACTTCCATTCTGGGAGAGCCAGAGGAAGAGTTCTGCCTTTCAAGAGGGCTGCTCCCATACAGAGTGGAGAAATCCTGGGGAGGATTCTCTTTAAGGAGGTTCATGAGCATGGGGTGGTTCTTGGTGTTGCCTGCTGGTGAGGATAACGGTGGTGGTGTGTGATGGGGAGGGGTAGGACTCGAGCCAATGGCAGACCCCACATTCCCTGTGATCTGTAACAAACTAGTGAGAATTGGGTTCTGAGACACCTTGCTGAAGTCCTCCCCGTGGCCCACCGAGTCATGCCTCTCTTTCATGCTTATGCTCATGTTAAACAAAGTGGTGATGGGCCCCCCAGGAAAAGTGTTGGTTGGGGTGGTGGTACCACTCATTGGGTTGCTGCCTGTGGTCATGCCATACCCTGGGCTGCTGGCTGGGGGAAGGTTTTTCTTCACCATATCTTCTACTGTCTCTGCAATGAGGGACAAGGCCGGCGTATCTGCTTGAATCGTTTCTGCTTTCCTACGAATTGCTCTCATGGTGACAGGAATGGACATACATCTGCAGGACACAAACAAAGGGCTCAGCATCTACCCTGCTGCCTCACAGCAATGCTTCCTGAGCTCGTTTCAACCACTTCATCACACGTAAGGCAAGCAATAAGGCTCTTGGGCACAAGAGAGCAGCAGGTCCAGCCTCCGATCCCACATCTCACTGCTCTGAGGTGGGGATGTAATGACACTCTTATGGAAAATGCTCCAGATAGAGACCAATTGTCCTGATCACTACATAGGAATACTGGGAAACTATTCATTTTTAGCTGACCAGCCACTGATTCTAGCTGCTGCTAGGTTTCTTTTGGAGACTGTTTTTGCACTGCCAGTTCTGCCCCTCAAAGTTGAGCTTTCTGTAGTATGAAAAACTGGGTGTGATGCCATCAAAGACACTTACATATAACTCTATTTGCTAGTTACTGTATGTTGGCTTACAGACAGCACCCAAAGCAACACCAAATGACGGAACAAAAATATCCAGCTTACCTTTGAACAACTTTGGCAATGAAATCATCTGTGCAGATCAGAGCATCAGATAGCCCTTTGTATAGCTTACAGTTCACATGAGTAGAGTCTTGCACATCCATTACCACTGAAAGAGAGAAGGCATTTAGAAGAAATGAAAACTCTGGTTACAGTGGAAGAAAAGGCTGACATCCTCCCCTGGAATACATTATGCTCTTACCACACACCAGAGAGTCATTCACAGGATGCTGAAAAGATACACTAAAACAGGAGTCTGAGAGAGGACAAACTTCAAACTGCAGGATCCCAGGAGAATCTGAAAGACATAGGAACTATTAAATCAGAGAACACAGGAGATTAACCAGAAGTGCTGGCTCACTACACTTCAGCAAAAAAGGGGAAAAAGAAATGGAAAAGCCCAGGGTTCTTTATTTTTTGCACAGTATATCCCACTTGTTGCTGTACCCACCTTCCTTTAAAACTGTTCGCTTGACACAGCTGCCAATCAGTGTGTTGTATGCCACTTGGTGTCTGATCAAATTGAGGATCAGAGGAACCCGGCCGGGGTGCTGGAAGGCGATTTTGCTGATCAACGTTCCTTGAAGGCTTCTTCCATCTGGGAGAGGAGCATCCTTGTTCAGAAAGTAACAGTGCTGCTGTCCTGGAAGAGCCTGATAAACAATTTGTGCTTTATTCCAGCTAGTACTGAGTGCAAGGCAATAAAACAGCTAGGAAGGAAAGTGCAGTCTCCAGAATCAAGTGATGCCAAACCACCTTTCTGGCAGAAAATGTACCAGAATTCTAATGACTGAACAGCACAGCCTTTAACTATGAATAAACGCTGTACCAGCTTCCTTTACCCTGCTTGAAGAACACCTGAAACAAACAAAAGCCCCCACACTGCTCACCTACAAGCACAGCACCCTGACTGTAACAACGTACTTACTGCGTAGAAGCGCATATTGTGGTTCAAAGGGATGGGATCGGCCTCCTTGGATAACTCAAACTGTGTGATCAGCTCATACAGGGGTACAAACGTTGGTGCTGTGTCAAACAACGGAATGCCTGGAAAAAAATGGCAAAGAACAATAGCACCTGGGAGCTGGAAAGAGGTGAAGGGGAGCTGCTGTCTAGGAAAGGAAGCCCAGTGGGTTCTTACCGCAAACAGAGCCCAAAACCTTAAGTAACTTTTATGGCACACTTTAAAGAACAGCAGCAATTTATTAATGAAAACCCAGGCAGGATCTGTCTCCCAGATCTGCAGCTCACCTGTGCAGCTCTGAAGTTTCTGAATGAAAGCTCGGGACACCGGAATGGGACGTGGGAATTTCAAGAAGAAGCAAGCTGGTAAATCCACGCTGTTGGCACTGGTGATTGATGAGAAAGATGGAGTTCTGGAATATTGAGTTAACACAAGGTCTTATTAGATGCAGGGCATGACTCTGGCTCCTGCTACGAGTGCCAGACTCACAATTCATTCTTTTCTCAAACACAAGCAGACTGTTACACTGCCTTAAAAAGTAAAAGGCGCTCCTTAGAAGTACACCAGGTGCCAAACACACACACCTCTCAGCTTCAAAAAACGCTACGTGCACTCATCTCCCCATCCTAACTTCAAAAGAAGGCTGAAGGTTGGATTCGCATCTGAACAAGACTACTGAGACAGGCCTGGGGCCAGGCCCTTTGCTCACCCTTTGCTGTCCACTGGATGAGAACCCATGATCAGCGGCGCAATGGGAAGTTTGTACATCGCCATGGTTCCCTCAACTGTCACCGACACGTTCATCCCCAAAGATCGAGGAACTGTGAGACGAGGCAAGAGACAAAGAACAAAGGAAGCTGATGAAAAAAACAAAGCAAGCTTTATGAATTATCCCAAGTGGAAATGCATCACTTTCTCCACGTGGCAGAGCAGCCTGCAGCGGCTTTGACGAGTGACCTACCATTGCTCTCATGCAAAATAACAGGGGCTCCAGTGCCATCTTCAAATAAATCATAGGGCGAGACATAATACTTGAGATTCATAAGGAGACCTGAAGGAGAGAGGCTTATGAAAAAGCATCTGGATGATGTAACTGAACCCAATCATTGTTAACCCCTGCAAGCACATAACACAGCACTGTGACTCAGCACGTGCTGCACAGAGCTCCTAAAGCACCTTGAAAGAGCTGCCAAAGACCAAACACAGCCAACTGCCACAGTGCTGCGACGCATGGCTTGGTAAAGGAGAAACAGCACTCTGGATCACGTGGGACATACAGATATTTCACCACCTCGTCCCTCTCTGAGTTGCATTTTTCATCATTAACATGAATTGATGATAATAAAGGGAACCCTGGACAAAATCATCCTTTCCTTTCTTCTTTAAGGTTAATCAAAGATACCTCCGCTCCTCGGGGTGAGATAGCCAACACTGCCATGGAGAATCTTGTCCAGTGGGTTTGCGTTGGTGGCTTGCCTGCAAGAGAGGCCATCACCAGTTTGTAGTGAGCCAAAACCACACCTGAAGCCACAACTCGTGCTGATGGAAGCCTGAAGATCTTAACTCAATATATACACTGCTCAGCTGCTTATCTCAAACTTCACACAGCTACAGGCAAAGCAGAAGCCACTTCTTATTGCTACAGTACAGATGCTTTATCTCCTGATTCCACAGCAGTAAAAGATGAGGAAATGCAGCTCCATTTTTGACTGTGAAACATCATTATCACTAATCCATCTAGCTACAACTATTTTTTTGGTCTTCTAGACTTTTTTCAGTTGAATTCTGTAGTTAAAAGGATACTGGTAAATTCCAGAAAGCTATGAGCAATAGTTTCAGTCTCTCTTTACCACTCTCCTCTGCTAGCACAGCCTTTTTAAACTTCAGTGCTGTGCTTGTTAGCAGTAGTGTCACAATACATAGGCATTGGTAGTGGATACATGGATACACAGTGCCTAGCATGATTAACTACCAGTCCCCCTGACGCAGCAATACCACCACCAAACAAGCAGCAAGTTGTAGCAATGTGCTTACCAATACATCCCTGCCATTTTGGAGAGATCTAGCTCCAAGGACTGAAGAGCCAAGTACATTTTAGTTTTGAGTTTGCTGGGAATAAAATAAGGGAAAAGGAGAAACAGTCACAAAAATTAAAAGGAACTGTACAAAAAAATGGAACTGGCAGGAGTGCTGGCTGAGAAGCTGCAGCACTTTGCCCAGGTGAAGCATTCTGAAGTGTTAACTTTTCAGTTTGCATTCCCACTGTGAGTTCAGTACTCCTCATGCACTGTGCCCCATGCAAGACACAGGGATGAAGTCAGCACCATGAAGGAACAGCAGGAGCAGTGAAAAGTTACACACAGAACTACAAGCTTGAAGGCTTGCTCACTGTTACACATGTGGATGTAAAGAAATGCACTGCATGTTCCAGACTTACTTGTCTCCTGGCAACTTATACAGGTTCACAAGCCCCCTCAGATGCTTAGAAAATTCATCAAAATTTTTCTCCCTGAAAAGAAAAGGGAGAAAAGTAACATTTATTCAGATGTGTTGCAGGTAAGGCTGTGTTTGTACAAGTTACATCAGCACAAACAGCAGGTCACTTCAGAAGAGATTCTTGCCACGTGAAAACTAAGCGTGGCGTCCTTTAAATGATCCAGCTTTAACGACTGATGAATGCTGTGCTGTGACCTGCAAGATATCATGCACAGCAGCCAGGATGAGAAACATCTGAACCAAAGCCAGGAGTCCTCCTGGAGAAGGGGAGAGACTTTGTGGGGAAAGAACAGTTAGGAAATGTTTTGTGTTTGCAAGCACAAAACAGCATCAGATCAAAATCAGAACACGCAACAGCTCTTGTTGCTCACCTCAGATGTTGCACCAGTTCTGGACAGCTCTGAAAAGGAAAGAACACACAGCAATATCAACGTCAAATGCATCAGTTTAAGTCTTTGTGCAGCACAGTAGCCGTAAAATATCAGGACAGGGAAATCTGTGAGCACCAGCTTGTGATGAGAAGCAACCAAACGTTCACAACTACACTGCTGTGTTTCTAGTTCTGCAGGATGACAGCAATGCTATTTCTTCTTAAACCACTAATTTGGAATAAACTTTTGAGGGCTGTGATGCCTAAGGCTGAAAGCCCATGATTTTATAACAGAGACTTTACAAGCAGTCCAATTTCAGAAGAGCAGCTACATCAATGAAAACTGCAAACTCAAACTCCCTATGGAGGAAGGAAGTAAAGCCATTTTCTTACAGACATTTTCTTAAACACAACATTCACACCTCAGTACTTTCCATTCTAAGCTTTGTAAGATTAATTTCCCTATTCTTCCCCCAGAAATGACACTTTCAGAATCACGCCTGTAACTTCCTCAAGGGATTTTTTCAGTTGTAAAGCTATTCAAAGAAAAAGAGAAGACCATCAGTACAACTGTCCTTGCACAAATAAACATTAAACCGCAGGAACAGATCGCTCCATGGGAGCTCTGATCTTCCAGCAGAACAAGCAGCAAAGGTACAACATCAGGTTTGGTGGAATGTTCAGTATCATCCATTTTCTCTGCTCAAGCTAAAGGGAAGCAAAAAGGAAGCAGTTCCAAAAACAGAGGCGTTTTTCTTGTCTCTCTCAGTAATACGTACCACAGGGTTTTCTCCATGGTGAGCCACCTTGACATCACACAGCAGCCCTGTAGGATCTAACTGGACTTCCACATAGAACATGTCTGAAGTGATGTAACATTCAGTGCCATTTGCACTGAGGTGAGATCCGAGGCTTACATACAAAACAAAACAAAAATTGCCATGAGATGCACACGAGAAACAGCCAAACCAGCAGTGAGGTTATGATGTACAGATAGGAGAGGCCTCTGCTGTACAACAAAGGAGAAGCCTTACCCGTTTTGTCTGGCTATGGACTCCAAGCGATCTGTCATGGCAGGCAGAGAAGACACTGGACAAAGAAAGCAAAAATGAGCCTTACTGAGACTGAACAGCTCTCCAGCAGTGATGTATCAGCATCAAAAGCAATCTCCACTCCTTACTCATGCCCACTCCACACTCAGAAAACAAGCAGAATCATTTCGCATAGAGAAAAACAAACATTCTCAGAAGAAATGAGAGACAGCGGGTTTTCATCTACAAGTGGAATTCAGGCATGGGCAATAAGAATGACAACAACACAGGCAAACCTCACTGGTAACGACACACAAGAGACAAGCAGGCTCTGTAACTGTGAGCACCACGAGCACAGCGAGCTGTGCCAGCAGCAACCTTGCAGGTTGCTCTAAGGTAGAGCATTTCACTGAGTATCACTGTGAAGCATTTCCTAAGCGCAGGCACAGGACGTACCAACCTTTCAGTGCTTTTTGCAAGGTCTCCAAACAGCTCACCAGGTGTTGGTGCCCCCCAGAGTTCATCACAACTCGCTTTTCCTACATCAGAAAGAAAAAAACAGTCTTTCAAAGTTTCACTCCACGAGAGAAAATTGCCGCAATTTTCCTTCAGCCGAGTGAGATTCATTCAGGTAATTAAAGGCGGATTAGATCCCCAAATTACATCCTCATTTTGATTCCTCTACCAGAATCATCTCCACATTGGCAGCGGGTAACAAAAGCAGGTCTGGAATTGATTTTTTTTTTTAAAGCAACTTGCTCACGTGAAAGACCAGACCATAACAACTTCATCAGTACAAGCTAGGAGTTGTATGAGAGCAGCCAGAGAAATAGAGGTTAACTTTTAACACCACAGTACGCACAGCAGCCTTTGATGATGCTCTGCCCTGCCTCCCGCTCTTTTCTACCCTCACCACGGCCAGTATTTCAAAGCCACACCTGACTGAGCTAACACTGAGTTCTGAACATCACTGAAAAGGAAACTGCAGAGCCCTCCTGCTCAGAGCCCAGCGCTTCTCACCATGACTTGACGGACCAGCTTCATGGTTTCTGTCCAAGGCCTGTTCTGGTTGTACTTTGCATGAAGTCTTTCTAAGAGAGTGCTCATCTTATTCAGCTTCTCTGCCTCTGTCAGACAAACCGCAAGGAAAACACAGAAAAAAGAGAATGTGAGCTGACAGCACAGCCCTACCAACCCGGGACCCACTCAGCCTTTACAAATGTTTGCCATGCCCCACAGATTCCCATCTACACGGCGTGGGGCTCTACAAACTCATTCTGGTATACTTTAGAAAGTTCCACTGTTATGGAAGGTGATGAAAGGGGACACAGGGTAAAACTCTGGTGTTGGATGGATCAAATACAAAAGTCCCGTAGGGAAAGAGTTCATTTTTCTGGCAATGCGTACACAAGGGAACGTGAATTTCAGTAGCATTACAATTCAATGCTTTTCCCCCCTTTTTGCCAAGGATTTTTTCTATAGTTGCATTTGACCAAACTGCAAACAGCAGACAGCACCACCAGCACAAACTGTCGCAGGTATTTCTGGCTCCAAGACAAACACGAGCCTGCAGCATCAGAACTGCCACAGCAAATGGCCCTGCAAGCCCTCATCTGCAGAACCTGAAGGGTTTGCTTACTGACACACAGATATCACGGCCTTAATGCCGACCTCATCAAATCCAAGCAAGAAACAACCAAAGGTTTATTAAACGCTTTTGGACACTTCTCTCAGCTCCGGCACAAAACGAGGCCGTGGGAGGTCGCTTCGGGCCCAGCCGGCAGGACGGGGCGCCCGGCACAACCGACGGCGGCGGCGGTTTGGTGCGGTGAGCTCCGGCTGTCCCGGCACGGCGACATCGCACAGCTCAGCGCTCCCTGCAGAGCCTCGCACACCGTGACGGGAGGAAACCCCCCTGCCGGGCCGGGCCCGCCCTGCGCCTCCACACAGCGGCCGCGCCCCGCTAGGCGGCACTCACCCTCAGCGCCTCCCGGCACGGCCTTCATGCTGCGGGGAGGGGAGGGGCGGCCGGCGGCCGAGCCGCAGCGCCGGGATCGCCTGGAGAAACGGAAAGGGAACGGGAAAGCCGCGGCCGGGCCGCTCCGCTCCGGCCTCAGGCGGCGGCGCCAGCCGCCATCTCTCTCCGGCCGCGGCTGCTCCGAGCGCGCGACGATCCCACTTCTCGCGAGAACTTCTGAGTCTCGCGAGAGGAAGGGAGTCGCGGTGGAGAGGCGGAGCGTTCCGTTCAGGCCCCGCCCCCCCGCTCCGAACCGCCTTCCGAAAGCCGATTGGCGGGGAGGGGCGGAGCGCGCGTGCCTCGATAAAGAGCCGCCTGGACGGAAGAGGCGGGGCTTCGTCCACTCCCCGTGCCAGAGCAAAGTTCTCTCGCAGCTCTCGCGAGACGACAGTGCGCGCGCGCACTACCCTCCGCCTTTCCTCTTCTCACCGCTTGAAATCTCGCGGGGGAGGGCTCAGGTTGATTCTCGCGAGAAACGGCCGTCATCTCGCGAGACTTGGCGGGTGCCCCCCTTGGCCGCGGAGCCGTTTCGCTTTGGGAAGTGAGCGGGGGGCGCTGGGGCCGGGCCGGGCCGGGGCGGCGGGGCCGAAGGGCCGCGCGGTGAGGCCCGGTGCTGAGGGTGGGGACAGGGCGGGCGGGGACAGGACAGGACGGGAGGGGAGGGATCGTGGGCCCAGGTCCCGCCTTCCCGGGGCTCCCCCCGCGGCGGCGCTGCCCTCCGGGCCTGGGCCCCTCGAATGAGGCGCTGAGGCCCGGTGCCCTTCCCCGCCCCTCCCGGTTCCGCTCCCCCCCCCCTTCCCCGTTCTTCCCTTCCGCCCCGCGCTCTCCGCCCCGCTCCCCATGCGGCAGGGGGTGCCGGCGGCAGGGGGGCGGTGAATGGTGCGAACGGAGGGCGCTGAGGGAGTTTGAAGTTCGGGGGTTTCGGAGGAGCGCCCCCCCCTCCCCCTGTCCGAGCACAGTGGAGGAGGAATGCCAAACCCGGAGAGACATGGGGGCAAGAAGGATGGGGGCGGCGGGGGGGCCTCGCAGCACGCGCCGGGCAGCTCCAACAGCAAGGAGAGGCACCGGGTGGCTTCCAGGCACAAGAGGCACAAATCGCGGCACTCCAAGGAGTCACCGTTGGCCGCCCAGGAGACGGCGGCACCTCTGGGAGCTGTGATCAAACCGCTGGTGGAGTACGATGACATCAGTTCGGATTCGGACACCTTCTCGGATGATGTGGCCCTCAAATTGGACAGGAGGGAGAACGAGGAGAGGAAAGCGGATAGGAGCGAAAGGACGCAGAAGCACCGGCACCACCAGCACAAACGCATCCGTGAGCTGATGAAGAGCAAACAGGCAGAGAAAGACAGGAAGTTGGAAAAGAGCCTGGAGGCCTCCAGCAGGTCCGGGTCTACCAAGGACAGGGTATCGGGGTCCTCCAAGAGACTGCTTGAAAGCGGGGAGCACCCGAAGGCGCTGTCCTCAAAGAGTAGCAACAAGGAGTCCCGCTCAGCCAAAGCGCACAAGGAGAAGTCCAGGAAGGATCGGGAGCTCAAGTCCAGCCACAAAGAGCGCAGTAAAAGCCATCGCAAAAGGGAAGCTCCCAAAAGTTATAAAACCGTCGACAGTCCGAAACGGAAATCCAGGAGTCCCCACAGAAAATGGTTGGACAGCCCGAAATTGGACGACAGCCCTTCTGGAGCCTCCTACATCCAGGAGTACGACCTCAGCCCGCCCCGCTCGCATACGTCCAGTAACTACGATCCCTACAGGAAGAGCCCCGGCGGCTCGTCGCGCCGGCAGTCCATCAGCCCGCCCTACAAGGAACCTGTGGCCTACCAGTCCAACACACGGTCTCCCAGTCCCTACAGCCGGAGGCAGAGGTCCATAAGCCCCTATAACAGGAGGCGCTCCTCGAGCTACGAGAGGGGGAGCGGATCGTACAGCGGGCGCTCGCCGAGCCCCTACGGCCGAAGGCGCTCCAGCAGCCCCTTTGCTGCCAAGCGCTCCATGAGCCGAAGCCCTATAGCCAGGTGTGTGCTCTGCACGGTGACTTCTTCCTCCTGGGGAATGGGGGAGGGAGCGGGGGGAGAGGATGCCTTGGGGTGGCTGGGTGTTAACCCCCCTCTGTGTCCGGACTTGGCCTGCTCTGGAGCAGCGCCGCGATTTGACGGCACGGCGCTCGGTGTGCGATTGCTGTGGTTCCTTGCTGTTTCCTGCAGAGTGGTGTTCACACTTGAGGAAACACCTCCTGGCTGGCACTGAGCAGCATCCATGTTGGCTCACAGCAGTGGCTGGGGAAGCAGCGAGCCCCGGGGATTGAGTTACGCTCACCTCTGGAGGTGGCCCCCTGGCAGGGGGGAGCTGAGCTGTGTGCAGCACGGAGCCCGGATGCTCCTCGCTGCTGTGCAGCTCAGTGGGAGGAATGTGTTCACCTCTGCTGGAACCCCTTATCTGTTTGCTGCGTGTGGAAATCTGATCACGCTCTTCAGGAGGGTTGTCTGTGTTTTGTGTGTTTTGCTCTTTCTGAACTGACTTTTTTTTTCCTCTCTTCTTGAATTAGATGACCACACGTAAGCTCCATCTTTTCAGCCTAAACTTTCTTTTCTCAGTACTAGAGTTACCACTTTCCCTTCTGAAATTGGGGCATTCTGGAAAGGCAGGTAGAAAACATCTGCATTTTGTCTTTCTTTAGAGTTTAGAGGGAAACTTTTATTTGAAGGCGGTGTTAACTCTCTTTTATTTCAGGTGTTCATTAATCTTCCTGTTCTGTACACAAATACGTGGTCTAATGTTGTTTTTTCTTTCTAGCTTCAGATTCTGTTAAGTGAGTTTCCTGTTGTCACCGTGGCTGCTGTGGAGCTTTGGTTGTGGCTCCATGGCAATTAAGATGTGACCTGGAATGTAATAACTATAGAACTGCTCTGCACTGTGCTGCATCCTCTGCTCCAAATATGAGCTGTGCCTGAGCAGGCTGCTCCAGGATGTGCTTGTGAGCAGTGGGTTTCAACTGCTTGGGGTTTCTTGAGTTGAGCCTTTACTCTTAAAGCTCTTTGTGAGGAATTTTGTTGTCCATGGGGCAGTGGAATTACAGCCTTTGTCCTGGCTGTGGGAGATGTACTGGTTCTAGTGGCCTGGAAGCTGTTAAGTAAAATCTACCTCTTCTCCTATGATTATTTTTTTGGAAGCAGAGGTGATCCTGGCCCTCTCTTAAATCCCAGAGGTAATGAGGGATAGTCCTCGACGTCTCTTTTCCCTCCCCTCAGTCCTTTCTGCTGTGGTGGCCCAGCTCTCGGAGGCTCTTTGCTAATGCTTTTGGAGGGGTAAAACCAGCAGGTATCCTTCATGGTGCGGCCGTGTGCTGTGGTGTGTGTTAAATGTCCCCCCTCAGCCCCGTGCAGGAGGAAACCACCTGGAAGCTGAAGTGTATGAGAGGTTCTGCCCCCTCGTATTGTTCTGTAGCATTTCCCAACCCAGAGCTTGCTCCTTCTGTAAATGGCTGGTTGCATCTGTGTTGAGAAATCAAGCTGTTATCTTTTCCTGACCTTAATTATGGGAACAACTTTGAGGCGCTCTGTGCTGCTCCTCTGTAGCGTGGTACAAGAAACTTTTCCAGGGTATCTTTGATTCTCTGACGAAATGCTTGAACCCCCAAGCACCACAGATTCCAAAGGTTGCTTGCTGTTTACGCTTGGTTTGTTTCGAGTTCTTTGGGTCTCTGGCTTCAGTTCGTAGCCTCCTGCTCTTCTCCCTTTCCTGAGCTGGTGCCTCTCTGCGTGATGCATCCTTGTGCAGCAGAATAAAAACTGATGTGTCACACCTTCAGAAAATACTCCTCTGAAGTGAATCCCTGGTAAAGGACAGAGGGAATTTCAGGTGTTTTCCATATGTTAGGCAAATTGTAAGTTGTAATTCACGCGTTGGTTTTGCTTCGTTGAGCTCACAGCCCGCGTGCTGAAGCAGTTGGTGGAAGTTTATGGTCAGACGTCTGTGCCAGAAGTCACAGATGCTCCCAGCTGCCTGCTGCCACCCCTCAGGGCTGCTCAGGAGCTCACCTGCAGGCAGAGATCAGCTGCCTTTCCAGCACTTCTGAGGCTGGCTTTGGTTGGCTGCTGCAGAGGAGTGGACAGAGGCAGCCGAGTGCCCCAGCAGCCGGTGCTGACTGCTGATCCTGCGGAGGAACAGGAGTGGTTTGGGAGGGGAAGCGTCTCAAATTGGCACGTTTGTGCAGTGAACACCTGACTGTGGCTGAAGTCCTTCAAAGGAGGTAACACAGGCTTTTCTGGGCCGCTGCATTATTTCTGCTGGCTGAAAATACGAGTTGTTTTAGTTTGTCTTAGCGCATTCAGTGTTTTCTTTAATCTCCGTGTCCAATCTACAGTGTTAGGGAACTGAATCAAAGTGCTGTGCTGGTTGGAAAGAATACAGAATGTTTGCATTTCAAATGGCTATGCAAAACAACTTGCTTTCAATTGAGGAGAAAATAGGGATGATTTGGTCAGCAGGGAAAATAACAGATGTGGTTTGCCATTCCTCCTTGTTGTTGCAGCAAAGGATAGAAGAAAAAATTCCAAAGTGGTTCAGCTTGCTGAAGGTGGGCTGTGTGCACATGAGCTGCAGGCAGGGGTTTGTGGGCAGCAGCCTCTGCGTGGCTCGGGGTTGTTGGGCATGCAGGAATAACAGCCTTTGGTTGGGCTTCTTCCTTGAGCAGTTCAACTGTGGGCTGTGCACTCGGACTTCCTGGCTTCTGCTGCCCTCTGCTCTTCTGCCTCACAGCACTGCTGTCTCCAGGTGTTCTGGGCGTTTGCACAGCAGGGTTTGGGAGCACGTGGATTTGGGGACTGCGGCCCAGTGCTTCAGCTCTGATAGCTGCTAACTGTGGTCTTTCTTGTGAGGTGCATCTGGGGTTTCCAGTGTGCCCCCCTCCAAAGCCTTTATATATATATATATAAAGTTATACTTTATATAACTTTTTGGTTATATCACATTTCTAAAGGATTTTTCATCACATTTCATCACATTTCATCACACATCACATTCATTCACAGCTTTGTGCTTATTCACAGTCATGGTGGTTAGTTTCTTGTGTCTCTGATTTCCAGCGCTCACGAGACAGCGAGGTGCTCTCTTTAATTCCAGAGCACCTTTATCCCGATGGAGATCTGCGTGTTTGGTGGAGGAGAAGCAG